AGTTTCTGCAGAAGCTGCTGCCCGGATACTACATGGTGGGTCGGAGGCAGCCCAGGCTGAGCTGGTTCCCCCCCCCTCCCTCTCCTGCCTTTCCCCCTTGAGCTGGGACCCCCCAGGGGTCTCCGTCTGTCCCCTGTCTCCTCCTCCCCCCCCCTCTTGGCCTCTGGGGCAGGAGGAGGGGGGAGGCTCCTCTGCGTTGAACGCTGTTGTAAGTCTTAAAAGTTATAAAGAAAAAGGGACGGAGGAATTGTACCGGCAGTCCTTGACTTACGACCACACAGGAGCCCAACATTTACGTTGCTAAGCGAGACAGTTAAGTGAGGTTTGCCCCGTCTTGCAACCTTCCTTGCCACAGTTGCGAAGTCGAATCACGGCCGTCGGAAAGCTAGTAACGGTCGTTAAGTGAGTGGGGGCTTTGCTTGCCAGAAGGTCGCTAAAGGGGAGTCCCGCCACCCTGCGACCGTCATAAACGTGAACCAGTCTCCCAGCGTTTGGATTTTGCTCCTGTGACCCCTGCTTGATGTGGTCACGAGGTTTGAAAAGGGGGTCGTAACTCCCTTCTCTCACGGCACGTGACTTCGGGCTTTCACCGAAGGAACGGCTGTAAGTCGAGGACTCTCTGTGGGACCAGGCCCCCCGCTGAAGGTGGAGGAGGCTCCTGCCCTGCCTCTCAGGCTCAGCTGCTGGCCGAAGCCCCTTCCCCTTGTTTGCGCGGAAGGAAACGGCCGGAGGGAGGAACACTGAGAGGGAAATTGGGAGCTCCCTGCAGGGACTCAGTCTGCCACCTCCCGCCTCCTGCGGTGCTCCCTGCCCTCCTCCTGGGGCCTCCAATGGAGGCTTTGCCTTGAGGACCCCTCCTCTCCCTCCTCCAGAACCTGAACCAGAACCCCCGGACGCTGCTGCCCAAGTTCTACGGCCTCTACTGCGTCCAGGCGGGCGGCAAGAACATCCGCATCGTGGTGATGAACAACCTGCTGCCCCGCTCGGTGCGCATGCACCACAAGTACGACCTCAAGGGCTCCACCTACAAGCGCCGGGCGTCGCAGAAGGAGCGCGAGAAGGTCTTCCCCACCTACAAGGACCTGGACTTCCTGCAGGACCTCCCCGACGGGCTCTTCCTGGACCTCGACATGCACAGCGCCCTGTGCAAGACCCTGCAGAGGGACTGCCTGGTAGGTGGTGCGGCCGCCCGCTTTCGGTTGCCCCGGGGGGGGGGGGCTCAGGAGAGGAAGGGGGCGAGGGGGCAGCTCTGGCCTCCTGCTCTTCCCACCCGCTACTTTCGAGGCAGGGAGGGGTCCGTTCCCCCTTTATTTTGGCCTTGGCGACGAGCGGAGAGAAGCGGGACGGCTGTCTGAGCCAGAAAAGAATGAATCCACTTTTGCCAGCGGGACGGGTGGAAGCGAGGGGCCCCTGCGGTGGGGCTGCTGTGGGGAGGGGGCTTCAGGGGCAGCTTCCCCTCCAGCCTGGCCCTGGGCCTCCTTCCGGAAGAGCCCGCCTGGGGGTTCCTCGGGGTCAGTTTGCATAAGGACTTTTATAACTTCCTGGGTCAAAGTCCGCCTTTCGTCCGCCACTCACCGGAGCTTCTGACGATGCCGCTTTAGCGGGCGGGAAAAGGCAGCCCAGCCTGGACCTGGCCAGGATCCCGCCCTCGTGGCTTAATTTGGGGGCTTCCTTTTCCTCTTCCCCCCCCACCTCACCCAGGTCCTGCAGAGCTTCAAGATCATGGATTACAGTTTGCTGGTGGCCGTTCACAACCTGGATTTGGCCCAGCGGGAACGGGCGGTAGCCGACGGGGCCTCCCTGGCAGACACACGCCGGCCGGCCGGCCAGAGGGCCCTCTACTCCACCGCCATGGAGGCCATCCAGGGGGAGGCCCGGCGGGGGGGGCCCATCGAGACGGACGACCAGTAAGTGCAGCGGCCAAGAAGAAAGGCGGGCGGAGGGGGGGCTCCCACTCTGTGGTTTGTGAACAGAGCCACGGGGTCTCAGATGTGATATCCTAGGTGGGGGGGGGTCTTCTTCCAGCCTGAGCCCCCCATCCCATCCTTCCGTTTCCCCTGCAGGATGGGAGGCATCCCGGCCCGAAACGCTAAGGGGGAGAGGCTGCTCCTGTACGTGGGGATCATTGACGTGCTGCAGTCCTACAGGTAAAGCCCAACGGCCTTCTCCCCTCGGTTGGGGCCGCCTGCTGGATGCCAGCCTGGCAAATGGGCCGCCTGGGTCCCTGATGAAGCCACACACACACACCCAGTAACCCGGCCTGCTCAGAGGCTCCGTGGCCGGTGGCAGAAAGAGGCCGGGAGAGAATAATGGCGCCAGGAGCCGTGGAAGGGAGATGCCAGCGGGAGGAGAGTAGCGGCTGGGCATTTGGGGCACCTGATCCCCCACCTCCCAGCCTGGTTTCCAAAGAACCCCTCCTTCCCCCCCCCCTTCGGGGAAAAGGGCAGCATAGAAATATAATAAATTCAAATAATAATAATAAATTCAATTCCGACCTCTGCAGGTTCATGAAGAAGCTGGAGCACTCCTGGAAAGCCCTGGTCCACGACGGGGTAAGCGGCCGGAATGGACACAGCTGTCTTTGGACGGAGCACGTGGGGAGGGGGGGGGAACGGAGGTCTGGAGTGGGAGGGATGGCAGAGGGCGGATTTCTCTTGGGGCTGACTTTGCCCCCCCCCCTTTCCCGCAGGACACGGTCTCTGTTCACCGGCCGAGTTTTTACGCCGAGAGGTTCCAGCGCTTCATGTGCCAGGCGGTTTTTAAGAAGATTCCTCGTGAGTCTGGTGGGAGGGGGGGGAGGGTCTCCTTCCCCTGTCCCCTCCCCCGATATTATGAGCGTTGGAGACGCTCCTAAGACTTCTCAGCTGATTATGGTGTCTCTCTCCCCCCCCCCCCCCAAAAAAAAAAAAAGTAAAATCCTCCCCTTCGAAAAAGAGCCGCTCCGGAATGGGACCCCCTCGTCGGCCGGGCCAGACCGGGACCCCCGCCCAGGCACTGAGCGAGACGAAAGTCCAGGTCACCATGGAGGCCGAGATGGAGCCAGGTGGGGGCCCTTTGCCTGCAGCCCTGTTCTTGTCATCCAAATTGGGGAGAGGGTCCAAATTCTAACCCACCCCCCCCAGCCCTCTCCCGGCCCTTTGCACAAACAGAAAGCTTGTGCCAGAGAATGAGGGGGTAGCTTCCATGCCCCCCCCCCCAACCTTCTAAAGCAGGGATGACCAACCTCGGCCCCTTTAAGACCGGTGGGCTTCAAACCCCAGAATTCCCCAGCCAGCCATGCATGGGATTCTGGGAGTCAAAGTCCGCCGGTCTTAAAGAGACCAAGGCTGGACACCCTGTTCTAAGGGGTGGGAGATCACCCACCCCTTCTGTCGCCCTTCCCGTGCCCCATACCCAGCAAGGGTGGCTCAGCCTCTTCCCCCCCCCCCCCCGGTCCCCTTTCTCAGGTTCCCAGCTGGGGCGGCCGGACCTGCTCCCCCAGACGCCCCCCGTCGAAGAGGCCAACAGCGACTCGGCAGCGACCACCTTATCCACCTCTTCCCTGGGCAGCCCCGGGCACAGCTCTCCAGCCAGCCGGTCAGTTGCCGTCCCCCAGCAGGGCAGGGAAGGGCAGGCAAAGTTTCCCCCAGGGGCTGTGGGGGGAGTCCCTGGGGCCATTGGAGTGCTTGGATGGCCCAGCCAGGGGGCAGAAGGGCCCCCTCCATCCTTCTGGGGCGAGAGACTTCAGAAGGCTGATTCGTGTGGGTCTCTCGTTTGGAGATGGGCCTGGTGTTCACTCCCTTCCCCCCTTTCTCCCTTCAGCTCAGTGGGGGCAGAAGCGCCCCCACCGGACACCCCCAAGGACCTGGCTGTCTTCCACCTGGAAAGGTGAGTTTTGGGGGTGGGGGGAGAGATTGGAGACCCCCAAAGGGCCCCTGCCTTCTCGTCCCTCTTTCTGCAGGAGTGGCTTCGATGGCGGAAGGAGGCTTTTCCCAAGAACAGCCTAGTTCTCTGGAGAGACTCTGAACCCCCCTCGGAAAGGGGCGGGGTGGGCGAGGGGGTGTCTGTCTTTCCTACAACTCCCCCCCTCCCCCCCGGTCCTCCCCCGTTGACCAAAGTCTCTTCATACCCACGTAGGTCAGAGAGCCGAAAGTTTGTCAGATCAGAGCAGTTGCCTGCGGAGCTAGATAGTGCAGGATGCTTTCGAGTAGGTGAGGCGGAGTCTAGGCAGGTGATGCAGTCGGGGCGAGGAAGCCCCCCGCACCCACACCCCCCGCCCCGCGCCGCCTGCCAGCGGCCC